TATTTTCCAATAGGCAGGGTGAGGATCTCTCCTAATGGTTCTACGTAAATCTCAAGTCTTTATAAGTCCATCCCTTCAGCCAAATTTAGGGGCCATATTGATATCACTGTTTCCCATCTTCCTTGGGCATTCAATGGCCACATCCTTCCTTCCTGGTTCCTTTAGAAATATATTCTTTTAGAGTGAAAAACTATTTAAAAATAGAAATGTTAAGAAAAAGCAAACATTCTTTGGAATGTATTAGAGACTCATTACACAATATCTCTTAGTGTTGAGATCACACTCATTCCTTGATGAGGCACCAGAGAGCTAGGGATAGAAAAATGGGAAAATTAAAGAAAGGACTGGAAAGGAGCCTGACATTCAAGACTCCCATTTTATTATTTTACCTAAGTCTAGTTTTAGGTAAAATAGAATTTTACCGGGCTCTCACCTGGATTACCAGAGTCAATTTCCAACTAAGCTGAAGAGGTTGTGAGATGTTTGTGCAATTCCACAAAAGCAGAAAGGAGGTAGAGGGAGAAAAGAGAGGAAGAAAAAACTGAAAGGAAGAGAAAGGGTGTGTGTGTGGGGTGACAGATGGATTTACAAAAAAAAAAAAAAAAATCAATTCTTTCCCAAACAGAAAAGGTTGATTAGGAGTTATATAATAAGAAATATAGTTACTGCTGTTCTAGAATCAAATTTGTTCTTTCTATATTTGGGGGCTAGACCCAAAAGATGTACTTTATTCTCCCTCTTAGCTAACAGATTAGGTACATGATAGGGATACAAGAACATGACATGATCTTTTCTACTTAATCTCATGCCTAATAAAAGACAAAGGGCTAACTGGGGTGTTTCTGATGAGCTCTGAGATTGCATTCCAATGTATCCTAGTCCATATATTGGCAAGAAGTGGATCATTGACTCCATTCAGCCTCCCATTGCACACAAATTAACTTCTGGGAAAAGTAAACAGGTGGCAATTACCTTTAAAACACCCAATGGGACTTGTTATCACTGGTACTTTTATGAGGGTCCTCATCTTGAAAAAAAAACACACCAAAGTATAGCACAAAAATGGAATAGCGTTGTTAAAACAATTTTCCCCACACATCAAGTATGGTATGGAGAAAAAAGCACAGCAGATTCAAGGGTTGGGCTCATATCAGGATCCTGCTGTTTAGTAAGTGTACAACTGCCAACAAAGCATCTAATCTTTAAGGGTCCTAATCTATAAAATAGGGATAATAATGATAAAATAATACCACCAATCCCAACTATCTCATATTATAAATTATATTTTACAAATTACACACACATACATACACACACACACACACACACCCTTTATTACAGACTCTAGTCTTATTTTGGGTATAAGGTCTAACAGATTTGGCTATCTAATTTTTCAATAGTAGCAGAGTAAGACAGGTCAGGTGGGGTTTCTAGACTGTGGCTGGCACCCTAACATTAGTGATATCTGGGAACCAAAGTGCCTTTTAGTTTTCTGCATCTTTCTTAGCTCACATAAATGTGAAAAAAAGCAATCTAGAGCTAATGAAAATAAATAATAACAAAAGCAGCAGCAGCAGCCATAGCTAATACAAAGTATTTATGAACTGAGCACTGTTTTAAGTTTTATTCTCTGTAAACAAGGAGCAAGTTTTGTATCTATGATATTAAAGTTTATAAAGAATATTTGGTGTTCTACAATATCCATGAAAAAGTCCCTTAGGTCAGTCTATGAGGCAGGTGCTATTATCATTTCCATTTTGAACAGACAGATAATGAAAGCCCTGGAATTTAAACCCAGGTATTGAAACTCAGAGTCAATATCAAGTGGTTGATATGGGGACTGAGTCCAGGAAGTCTGGTTCTACAGCTGGTATTTCTAATTATTACTCTTTTGAGCCTCTTTAAGAGTTCTTGATACCTTGGAGATCCTGTTAGATACCACTGTTATTATACAATAGTACTCTTGGTTTCTAAGAGGTTAAAGTTTTAGTTTTCTGGAAAATTCACTTTTGAAATGTCTTAGTCACATGACAAATCAGTTACAACTATTTTCTAGCAGGTGTTGACCAAAAAAGGCACCACAGGTGTTCAATGGGGTAATCATAAGCCAAACTAAATATATTTTATAACTTCCTATTTAGCGTACTTTGATTATTCCTTCATCTATAGGGGTAAAAAACTGAACTACAGACTTTGAACAAATTTTGGCCAATCCAGATTCTAGGAGGCAGAACTGCCAAGAACAAATGGCCCTGTTGAAAAGCAGATGTAGATGCTAATCAGAGCACAAATCTCACAGGCTCTCTGTGAAGGTGTGGCTGGAAAAACTAACATAAGAACTAGTCCTCTCCCCTCAACAATCCTAATAGCCATCTTTGAAAGAGATAGTAGCAACAGCCTCCACCATCACAATACTCCTTCAAATCTGATATAATATCTGTTTCCTCAGTGTATAATATTAACACATTAATTTTCAGAGCAAAAATTCTTAGTGAATGTTGACTTTAGGAACACAGACTATGTATATATTGTATCGCTGTATGAATCAATGTTTGTGTAGTGAAATGTACTGTTCTAATCAGATGTTTTAAATTTGTTAAAGATAAATTCATGAATCTATATCAATAACCTTAAGTGAAAAAATGATTTGCCACAAATGCAAAATCAAGCATTTGCTGGCTTATGGTGTATATCCACCTACAAAATTTAGTTGAAAAGTAAAAATATGCAAATCATTTGAATTATTTTTCTCATTATACTTATAGGTGCATTTTTTACAAAACTTGTTTAGATGTTTTAGCATATTACTGACAATCATAACATTGCTGGCAATTTTATTTTATTTTTTTAATTACAAAACCAGTACATACTTTTTGAAACACATTTCAACAAGATAAAGATTTGTTGTATAAAAAGTAAGAGTTCCCATTCCATTCTCCCTTCTCTTGGAGAATTCACTGCTGGGTGCTGCCCTTTTCATATTCATATTCATAAAAAACTTCAAATAGAAATGAAGAGATCTAGAACTTTTACAAAGAAATAACCGTATTATAACAAAATGTCCTAATACTTCTTTTAAAATAGTCCTTAACACTACTAGGGAATTCAAGAATATTAAAAGTTAAGGTACTTTCCTGGGGGGTCTTCTATGAACTATATTTTAGGAAAAAAACACAACTTACTTCAAAGTACTGCATTTGTTGAGGCTGACTATTGTGTGCCCTACACTTTGCTTAGGAGTTCCACTCCTGGAAATTGTTTAATTTAAAAGTATTATGAAAGCTTGCTATTTGAAAGGACTGTATTATTAATTCTTTTGTAAAGTGAACAGTTTCTCTATAAAGCACTCCTTCCTAATTTATCTTCCCACATGTTGGATGTATTAAAAATGAAATGGGAGGATACAAAGCTTTCTGGTTTCCTAAACACATTCCCATAGGCACTGTAACAATGTGCAACCTAAAATGTATCTCTTTATCTTCTAGTTTACATGGCTATCTTTAGAAATTCTAGATCTGGGCAAGAACCAAGATTCTGCACACAAACACCACCAGAAATAACAGATCTATTCAGGCAAGATGATTGGGGCTCACTTCTACTCAAAGTGAGAAAAGATCTATTATAGCCTGCAAACAGAAACTATAAATGCTAATTCAACACTTTCACACTGTTTTCGCTTTGGTAAAGTTTCCAAAGCAACATTATTAAGAGATTTTTTAAAGGCTGCCCTATTATCTGTAAAACAGGGCAGGTAATGTATCCACAAATGTTAAAATCTCAAAAAAAAAAAAATCAGTATCCTACAACTTTTATGAGAAAATGTCTTCATTTAAGTTTATATGAATATATATAGTATACTGATAACATAGACTCCATTTTACAAAAATATAATTACTAAACCTGAGTCATTTTAGTGGGCAAAGCTGCAGAGAAACTAGTTCATATTTGGATTTCTTGAACTAAGGCAATGCAACAATCTGATTTCAATTCAAATTTTAATTAGTATTTCTCCCTTGTCATCTTTTGAATCAAGGCCTTGTGAAGGTTCACATTTTAGCTAAGGTTACATTAGTAACTTTCAAATGGTGTCCTATTTGCAACCTCTTAGAAAAAAATACAAAATGTTACCTGTTTCTGAAGGCCAATTCAGACACAAAAGGGATAGTTTAATAACCAAGAGTAAACGCTCTGCATAACGTCATAGAACTTGCAGAATGTACTTACTCCAGGCAACACCATCTTTTAAATGACTCAAATGTATTTTTTTCTTTTCCTTCTTTTGAGGAGGCAAAGGGGATGAGGGAGGGCTAAACAGCCTGTTTTGACATGACAGGACGCCGAGTGGGGAAAAAATCCACAGGCTGCTTTACCGTGAGACCAGAGCTGTACTGGGTTGGGACTTGCGGAGACTTGTACAGAAGACAACGTTATTTATGTTTTGGAGACTTTCATTTAAATGACCGAGGCAGCAGTCTCTCCCAGCTCAGCATTTTTCACCCGGGGACGACTCAGGGCAGAAAAGGTCTCCCCACCCACCTCAGGCCGCCCTTCACCTGCGGGGCCGGGACGCCCGCCTCCCTGGGGAGCGTCTTCGGTGCCACTTGAGTGCGACTGCTGGGGGGCGACGTGACCTCCGTGTGGCACAGGCAGTTCGGTCGGGTCACCATCCACCCGCCTGGCCCCCCTCGCCCAGGTACCTCGTCCGGGCCGTGGCCCCCGCCGCACTGCTTGCAGCCCAGCAGCTCCGAGACGGCCAGCGAGGCCGCGTACGCTTCGTTCGCGGCGGTGGCCAGGCGCATGTCTGCGCGGGGACGGCGGCGGACGCGCAGAGGAGGCGAGCGCTGGGCGGCCGGCCGCGGCTCCGGGCTGCAGCGCCTCAGTCAGCGGGGACGGCGGGGGGCGGGGCGGCGCCGACAAACAAGCCGCGCGGCCCCGCCCCGCGCCCGTCACTCCACCGCCCTGCGGCCGCGCGCGCCAATCCGGGCCCGGGGCGCCGCAGAGCTCCACCCCCTCGGCGCGGACCGGAGCGGGGCGGCGGGCGGTGTGCCGGGGCTGGGCGAAAAACAAGTCCCAGGGCCGAGCTCCCCAGCAAGAGCTAAGTCTCAGGTCCGAAATGGCTCGCAGGCCTGAAAGGGAGCGTGCACTGAGTCTGGAAAATACAGCGCGAGCCCTCGGGCTGCAGGGAAAGGTGAATCTGCCTCCCCTCCCCGCGGCTGAGCTGTTCACCGAGAGCCAAACAGCAGCCAAACAGCAACAGACCTGACCCTGACAGCGCCGGAGCAATCAAGTTCTCTTTAAATTTTATATACTATTGAAATTTCCCTCCTTCCTTTCCGATCATAACCAAACAACGCTAAATGGGCCGCAGAATGCAGGAACAATCAGGGGGACGGGACCATGGCCTATTTTCAATGTGAAATTTATTTTTGGTAAGCTATGTAAAAACTATAAATATCACTCTCCTATACAGATAATAAGCTTGGTAACCTGTCTCTGAATTGTCTTTTTTTCAAGTATATTTGAAGACTTTAAAATGTCTAATATTCCCTCAAAACTGCCCTGAGTTATAAAAGAGAGAATTTCTATCTCTGAAATCTGATGAGGAACTTGGGAAAATGTAGGTTATAAAGGAGCATAAATAACTGACATTGCTGGATCCAGAACTCACATCTCTCAAGTCCTGTGTCAATACTAGTTCCTTACATAGCTCTATTAACTTTTTTTAAATAAAAAAATCAATTCCTAAGTTAGATCTCCTTTTGCATGTTTGCCCTTGTGTTTTAAAAAGCTTACATGATTGGGTTAAAAAACAAAAAAAGTTGGAACATTCTAACAGAAATCAGCAAGGGGAATTTAAGCCAATAAACAATGACAAATAAAACCAGGGCTCATAAATGAAAATAAGTCTTAGGAGTGAGGTTACAATGTCTCAGAAGACTAAGTTACTCTTTTAGCTCTACAATTATCATATTTTAAAAGCGGTAGTTTAAAAAGGTTACTTTTTATTTATCTCCTCTAGATAAATAAATGTTATATGTTCTCATACACTGCTTTTAAAAAATAGCTAAAGCACCCAAAATATTTTTTACTGATCAGGAGAAGCAATTTTGGGTTAATGTTAATAGAGAAGAAAAGCCTACAGAGGCTTCCAAGCTCTCTTCCACTGAGCACAGCCACAAGAAAAAACAAAAATAAAAACAAAACCCAAAAAACAGTATAATCAGATGCCCACTCAGACTCAGCCATAAACAAATACAAAACAAAACAAACCCAGTAAATCATCTAATTTGCAGCAATATGATGCACCCTCCAGGATAAAATGGTTGTACATGAATAACTTGGAAATATAAATGCATTTGATGTATGAGATTGTGAGCTATAAAAACTAGTTAGATAATGAGGGAAGTACATGAAAAATGATGACTCTGGTTCTAAAATTATTTCTGAAGGAAATAAAAGTTTTAGTTGTCTAGTAGGGAATAATCTTTTTGTGTGGCATTAAAATTATGACATTTGCAAAATGAGAATGCTTATCTTTCTATCTAATGACAGACAAGGAAAGAGCAGGCATTTACCTGACCCAAAAGTGGTCAAAATAATTAAATGTTAAACCAGCAAAACTGCATACATATAATGTCTGATACTTAATGCCTGCTAAATATTTACTGAAGAACCATTTCAGATATATTGAAATCTGAAATTGTATAGAAAGCTTCAATTAGGATTCTTTTCCCCCCAGAAAGTTGCTATCTTTTATTTTAATGCTGCCTTACATGAAAAGAAAAATAATTTTAACTTATGTCCTAATTTAGTGATTTACTGAGAACCTTCAAGCCATTAAATGTCAAGATTCCTTTATGGTCTCTATAAAGACTGACCTAAATTCTTCAAAGAGTATTAATTTCTGCTTGCTTCCATAGAGCATACTGGGAATTAGTCACTCTATTCTCCAACACAAAAAGTTTGCCTCCAAATAAATCTACAGTAACCAAGAGTTCCAACAAATGTTAATTGACCAGCAGATATCATTGTGTAGATTTCGCTACTGAAAATATTTAATTCCAAATCACTGAATAAAAAGTTTGTATTTTCCAAGGATTTCACAGGTAGTTCAGACATCCTGAAGGTGTTTCTCCTCTTAACCTCCAGTGCTGAACACATATAGGCACACAATAAACATCTGCTGAAAACATGAATAGTGATCAGAAAGGACTATGCTTTTTTCTTTTAGGACTATGCTTTTGATGTTAATATTTATCACAGGTTATCAGTATAGGCCAGCAGCTATTTTCCAAAGTTTGCTTTTAAACATTACATTTCAACATTTTATTTCTTTTAAGTGTCCTGACATTTAATCCAAGAAGTAATAATCATTTTGAAATATTTCCTTTCTTCTTAAAATGTTTTGGTCAACTTACTCAACTGTATCAAAGTGAGGTTCATTGCCTCTCCATCTGTCCTTAGCAGTAATGCTCTCAGCCTTATTTTTCTCAAGAAAAAGTTGATACTTACATGTAAAAGCACAGTGGTGTCAAATGACTTGACCTTAGCAGAGAACAATGACATATTAGGGAAGTCCAAACTTGGAGTGGTGGTTCAAGATAGGCTCTCTGAAGGGAAAAGACACCTGAGCTGGAGTAGAGAGGCCTTGGTAAGAAAATATGGTGGAGGGTTTGTGAGAGTAGAGACAGAGTTCTAAGTAAAAGATCATGTGCAGGCCGGGCACGGTGGCTCACGCCTGTAATCCTAGCACTCTGGGAGGCCAAGGCGGGCGGATTGCTCAAGGTCAGGAGTTCGAAACCAGCCTGAGCAAGAGGGAGACCCCGTCTCTACTATAAAAAATAGAAAGAAATTAATTGGCCAACTAATATAAATAGGAAAAAAAAAATTAGCCGGGCATGGTGGTGCACGCCTGTAGTCCCAGCTACTCGGGAGGCTGAGGCAGGAGGATTGGTTGACCCCAGGAGTTTGAGGTTGCTGTGAGCTAGGCTGACACCACGGCACTCACTCTAGCCTGGGCAACAAAGCGAGACTCTGCATGTGCAAAGGCCCAGAAGCAAGAGACAGAGTGGTCTACTAGGGAAGCAGAATAAAGAAAGCTCATTGGGTCTGAAGCAGAGGGTAGGAAGTGAATGGAAGTTTAGGTAAAAGATACATAGTAACAAGGATGATCAAGCTTCATTAAGGAATATGAATTTCATTCTTAAGGGTACTGTGGAGTTACTGAATATTTTAAGCAGTAGAGTGACCTTGGATTTATATTTCAGCCAAAGTTTAGAAAAATATTAACATATTGGAAGGGGCAGAACTGGAAGCAGAGACATAAGTTAGAAAGGCTGGTGAGGAAATCTTGGCAAGGTAAGAGGGTGGTCCGAAGAACAATGGGAATGGAGAGAAGTGTAGGGATAAAGGTCAGTTTTGTCTCTCCAACATGGTAATAAGTTCCTTAAGGTAGGCAATCATGCCTCAAACTCTTGTTTTTTAAATTTAGGAGATAAGTCTCAAATTATCTGCTTTCCTGACCAAGCAGCTTCCCCTGATGCCATTCAGTCTTTAAAAGTATAATCAATTAATGAAAAGGAATAGGTATATTTTAGTAGAAAGAATAATCAAGTTAAAAGGCACAATCATACTTTTGTGGATCATATATTAAACCTTGAAGTTTCTCCTTAACCAAAGGAATTAGATGAAAGTACTATAGATTTACACATCTCTTCATTAGAATCAGGATTATATGTAATACAATAATTGGTTAGAAGACACAAAGCAATAGTTTCAGCCATTAAATTCAAGAACTCCTTTAAGGGGGTGAGGGGGATGTTAGATTTATCTGGTTTAAGCGTTCTTGAAAAATTTCCTATTGTCATTTAATATATTTCATTTAAAATGAATGCTGGTTTATAAGATTACTTCTGCTTACTAATTTTGTCAGGATTTTTTTTTCTCCTCCAGCTCATATCTTCCTGTTTTTGTCTATATAGCTTGTCTGCTAAGCACTTTTTTCCTTTTGACATTATGTTCTGGGTACATTAAGATCCTTTTAGCGCTGAACTTTAAATTTATTTTGTTCTCTTATTTGCTCTCTACTTTTTTCACTTCTTCAATTTAATTTTTAGAATTATATTACTTTAAAGGAGCAAGAATGTTGACAAATCTTTGGTCTTTTCCTCTCATTTAGGGTTTCTTTTTTTTTAGAAATGGACAGTATTTTAACTCTCTATAAGGGATTTAGAAATATGGGCCATCACCCATATTTGTAAATAAGCAGTATTCCAAAAAGTATCAGTGGTTTTAAATTAGAAAGTCACTTTTACCCTCAAAGAATCAGTGTGTTAAATAGTGGTCAGGTTTTCTAGGCTGATAATAATAAGACCAGTGATTTACCAACTCCCATGTGTCAAATAATACTTCAAATGCAGATATTTTTATTTTATACATTTGTGACACTGAAACTCAAAAAAGTACTAGTAACTTGACCAAGGTTATAAAACTAGTAAAATACAGTCTGGGATTAGAACCCAGGTCTACCTGAATCCACAATAGTAGTCACTATCTAGGGCTGTTTCTTTTAATCAATATACATTTAAAATTTTGACAACTGTGTATTAATCCTAAGTTCTTTATTCTGGGGGCAAGAAAAGAGGGCAGAAAGAAGGAAAATTTATCTCCCTTGCTTATACTCAAGGTGAGATTTGGTTTAAAAAAAAAAAAAAACAAGTCATGGAATGAGTGATCTTGGTCTTTGAGAGCTTCTCTTTTCCATTTCTCTATTCCTGTCACTCCTCTCAGAGTCTCTTTCCAGGCCTTTGGTGACCTCATGCTTCCCAAAGCTCCTTCACTACATATCTTAGCTGGGTTTATCTAACCTCCTAAATGTTCTTCACATTACCCATTCCTCTTAGAAAAAGTGGCATATTTTAGGAAGAAAGCAGTCCTCTCAAACTAACTCACACTATTTATTGTGACTGATCTCATTTATTTACTTAGTCTATGTCAATAGAATGTAAGCTCCTCGAAATCAGAATGTTTATCTTTTTTGTTCACTGCCATATTCTCAATGCCTTAGTATCCAGCACACAGCAAACCCTCAAAAAGCATGTATCGAGTGAATGAATGCCAAAGAATGTTTCCATTTAGAAAAGCTTAATTCAATTAAAAGCTTAATAAATTTCAAATTCAATATTCAGGGTTTTGAAGATTTGGACAGTCTAGACAAACATTTTTGGAGGCTTGGGGGGCCACTATATAGTCAGGCAGGCAATGCTTGGTAATCAGCTTGCCCTTGGATTCAGCTCTGCTAAGCAACTTATTTTTCAGAGTCTCTCCACTTATTCTCCGTGGGAACTCACAGATAGTCCCAAGCTTCTTTGATTTTTCTGTGTCTGCTCTCTTAAACTACCAGGACAGCAGCTAAATAGGTTCTGGCAGC